CTAAAGCTTTAACAACCATCGTTCCATAACTAGATTTTAGGGAGTAAATTTCCTCCCAAAGAATATCACTGATACAGTGTTTGCAACTACTATTCAATTTTTAAAAAAGCACAAAATCTGCAGGGTAAATTTCCTCTCTAAATTCACATTAGTGCATTGTACATTCATTATTTCAATAACAAACCAACCATTGTTTACATAGTTAGATTTTAGGGAGAACATTTCCCCCCAATTCTATCACTGATACAGTGTTCACTACTACAATTACAATTTCCAAATCTCAAGCTTATACAACCATCGATGACTTTTGTAAAAAAAACGTATTAATCCGCCTGACGTTAGGTTCAAATTTTGAAACAATCTAAAGTCATTTTTTTAGAACAATGATCTTTTTTCTTACATCAAAAGAATGAAAATTAAAATAAAAGCAATGAATTTAATAGCTACCCATTTTATACAGTGTAAACTGGGTTGGAACAGTTTACGCTTTTTTATAAATCGCTTCACAGTTTATAAAGCGTTAACTCCCAACCCAGTTTATACCGTATAAATGGTACTATTAAATGAATTCCTTAATTTAAACATTTCATAGTTTTGTTACTGAAAAGAGCAAGCATATCTACAAAGTAGCCACAATAAGAATGCAATTAATTATATGAAATGATACATTTTTAACAAGGAGATCCAGTGTTTTATAATCATTTTCTGATGAATTTTTTCACGGCCTCCTTCACTGCAGTTACTGTTACATCAATTAGAACATTGCCTTTGGAATCGATTTGTCCTTTCTGTTGCATAACAATATCCTCTTTGTTTACTGTCTGACAGTCCCTCATGTTGATTTCGCGTGTCTTAGCTCGTTCATCGATTATGACAGCATTCTCCGCATTGATTGTTGCAATTGGTAACTTACAAAACACAAATTTTTCCGATGTTTCGAAAGTTCCAAAGTAGATCTTTCCACCATATAGTACCAATCCACAATCCACCTGTAGACAAAATTTAAAATACTGCATCAGCAAAACAGGTTGAAATTATCAATTGATGTTTTTCCTACGAATATTTTGCTATAAAATACCTTCCCCTCTTTAAAGCACTTTGATCTAATGAAACAACATAACGAGCTTCATTTCGAAATATAAAAAAAAAACCATGGACCAAAACGTTCTTGATTTTTATATTGACAGCATAATCTTTTAAAACTCTCATTTTATAAAATTGTGAACTTCTGTTAATGTACTTTTTAACATTTACATAAATGCAAAGAATTTTATAATTTAAAATTTTAAAATAAAATATTAGGGGATGCCCTTTTATATGATTAGTAAAAAAAAATATTGCAATGAATACATGTATTAATTGTAAAATAAAGCAGTTTTTCCCTCGAAGAGTAATAAATGCAATGTTTTACCTCAGTCATTTCTTCCTCCTCAGTTTCTTTTTGTTTCCTTTCTTCCCTAAAGTAGAAAAAATAATATGAAGTAAGTTATTTAAAGGTTCAACGTATAACGGTATATATGTTATACAATACGTAATATCGCGATTACCTCGCAGTTATTTAACTTACTACCACTCTTTTGCAGGGGAGTCGAGAAAGCTCAAATCTCACAAGTTTATCGGGGCACATGGCATTGTTTACAGTAGTGACAATCGAATAATTTGAACAATTTTATGCAGAAAGTACAATGAATTGCTGAGAATTGAATTCCAAATAGTAGATTGTCAAATAAGGAAAGATAAGTTTATTTTATCAGCTATGAAATACCTCAATTTTCGATGAAAATTTAATGAGAAGAGCCCGCTTAGTTAAAATATCGTTAAAAATGTACCAATCAAGGATTAACTTCTCTCAATATTTAATTAGGCTAGTTCAGCTATTGTTAAGGAAGTTATTCCACTAGGATTTTTTAACTTATCTCTCCTTATGAATTCTACAATGATCGATCTTGCATTGTATTCAATAGCACATATTTCCCCAGCGAACAGACGTTCCTTACCTCCATTGCGAAAGAGTTCTACTAAGTTGAGTAATTGCAATATCAAGTATAAAATGTGTTAATTCTTATATGTACAGAATTTGAAGCTTGCCAAACTCCAGGTGACTTAATGAATCATATAGTAAAATATATCGAAAGTTATCAAATTAATATAAGATTTTTATCCTTCTACTACCCCTTACATCGACCTAATAAAGGTAACCTAATAAACCAAAACTTTATTCGGTCACTGCCCTAATAAAGCCTCTTGCATGTATTCCAACGTTCTAAAAGCATTTTGAAGTCATGTATATTGCAATTGCCATATCACCTTAGCGTCATAGTTTGAACTGCATAGATATGCCTAAATCTGTCCAAAATAGCCCGTTTTGGAGGTTGAAATGTAATAAAAGATATGTTGCAGGATAAACAAAATACATGATACATGTAACTGTTTAAATATAAGCGATAATTGGGCATGGGTCGAAAATGCATGAAAGCTCGGCAAGCCTCGCCCTTTATTACGTTTTCTTACCCTTGTCTAAATATCGCTTATATTTCAATACAGTTACCATGACTTTTATATATAATGTTCTTTTTTTTACAATTTCATTTGTTTAACTGCATTTAACTAAAATTTAATTTTTTTTTCAGCTAGGCATTTTGTTTTTATTATGAATCAATGGTACCTGATATGAGGAACACAATTATAAGTGTATAAGAATATAAGTACCTTGGAAGTGCTGTCATGAAGCACTGGGGCAGTGTTGTCATTTCTTTTTTGTAGTGACTTCGCTCTACAAAATAGACAGAGACATTAATCAAAGAACACAATTATTTAAGTTTCGTATGTGAATATCCTTATTAAAAAAAAACATGTTTCAAGAGTCGTTGAACAACCTGTTTTTTAGGGTGTTTTTCATGTATCAGAAAACTTGAAATATAATTTTTTTATTGCAGTAAGCTATACTTATTTTAACAAGCATATCACTGCATTTTTTCCTCGTCCTTGATTTTCACGGAATCATGGGATTTTAATTTTTATAATTGTGACTATGATCGGGTTCATAATGCATAAATTTATGTTCTAAGAGATAAGGAAGGACACGTGTATTGTTTATGCATGCTTACCTGAGTTGTTGGTAGAGTGTCCTCATGATCATTTTTCTTTGTTTCTTCTTCGATCTGAAATGAAATGATCAGATTTATTTCCTTTACAAAATAAATCCAATTATTATAGCGATGGTAACTATTGTCTCAGATCTGAGCCTTGGATTTGTACGCATAATGCCCTGATATAGACGACGTTATTGTGGTTAAATTTTTATGTTACAATATTTGTTACCGTTGAATTGAGAGGTGAGTGTATTTTGTCTCTTAACTTAAAAATTATCCATCTGTAATTATCAATTGCCAAATCAAAAATTATTGATTTATAAGACATTATATTTGTCTTCATCGTTTATAATAATGTAGCGGATTGGATAATTTTGTACAGTTTATGGTATACCGGGTACCTAAATGTACATGTACTGGTAAAAAAGGACATTTTTTTCCAAAAATTGAAATAAAAAAATTTTGATTGTCGATATGCAGATTTATCATTTGTGTTTATGGATATTAGAGAACATGGCACAAGTAATGTGTTCTTATCTTACTCTGCTTTTCATCCGTGCTCTTGCGGCAGCAGCCTCAGCATGTTTCAGAGCATCTTGTTGTTGTATCAATTTTTGATGAATTTCTGCATGTTGATGCTGTCAAGTATAAGTTACATTTTAAAGGTTTAATCATATCGCCTAACAAATAAAAGTCATTTTTATCAAAGTTTAGACTTTTCTAAAAAATCTAACTAGTACCCAATTTAATTGAAAAGAATGGATTACTTTAAGTAAAAAAAAAACTTATTTTTTCAAAGTTAAGTAATGTGATATTAAAAATTTACTTGATACTTAAACTCATGATATATAGATCTTTACAAATAAAAATCAAGCAGAAAGGTTCACCTTTATACCTTACCTTAATTGTATGATATTTTCTTCCCAAGATTGGGACCATTTCTTAGTCTAAAAAATAAAAAAAAAGCTTCATAATTCCTTGATTGTGTCATGTAATTTCTTTTAATTTTCCACTCCTATATAAACACATACACTACTACACCTGTTTACAAATTATTTACTCATTTGCTATACAAATTTTAAACTTACCTCTGTCAATTCAGACTTAAGCAAATTTATTTCTGTCTTCAATTCTTCATTTTTCTCTTGCTCAGTTCTTAATTCTTTACACAAATCCTCGTTTCGCCTCTGCTCTTCCTTAAGCTTTTTTCAGTCATAGTTTCACTAGGTTTGGCAATATCAATATCTCTTTCATCCTCTCTCAATGAAACTGATCTAAAAAAATATGTTTGAAGAATTAAGATTGATATCAATTTCTTTTTTCATTGACATTTCATTGCTAGTAATTCAATCATAGATTCAATTAAATATACATGTTCAACGAGAATTCATTATTTAGATTATGAATTACAGTCTTTTATTATTAAATTACAAATGTCATATATTTCTATTACATGCGCCTTTAACAGGCACGAAGCATTGTTTTTGAAAGGGTGGGGCGTGGGGGCGGGGGGCTACGAAAGATTTTTTTATTTTTTTTTTTACTTACCTCTAAAAGTTAACAAGCAAAAAAAAAAAGAAGGAAAAATGCCAGAACCTGAGAATCCTATTTCGTAAGGGTGGGGGGGGGGGGGGGGGGGGTTGTTGGCTAACTTTTTTAAGGAAAACTTCCTTTCACTTTTCAGGTTCAAACCCTTGGCATCTTGGCATACAATTCTACATTTTCCTTCATATCACTATACTGTGCTAAGAAGTGTGGGGGGAACCAACCTCTCAATGTACATTTTCAATGGAAAGGGGGAAAAAGTGGGGGGGGGGGGGGGGGCCTTTATTGCTACGTGCTTGTTAAATACACAATAATCATCCATGTACCTGGTGGAATTTTCATTATCACTAACTTCAGTTTCTTCGCCATCTTTCCTGCTTGCTTTTTACTTGTGATTACATTCCTAATGAAAAATGAAGTAGAATAATATTTCATTCTATATACGTGGAACATTATAAATAGTTAAAGAGCATCATTTATATTTGCCAACTTTTAAATCGCTACAAATTACTGCATTACTGCCTGCTGTAGAGATAAGATTTTATCTTCCAAAAAAAAAAGATTAAATAAACAAATTGGTTATTAAAAAATATAATTTACATTGCGAGTTTGGATCAAGTGCCATACAGAAGAATCAGAAAAGAGATGGTTTGATACTTACTCATCTTCTCCTGTCTGTTGATTGTCTTGGATCTCTTGGACGTCTGAATTCTACTACAGCTAGCGATTTTTTACTGAAATGCATGGATTAACAAAATGTGTTCAGCATTCATTTGTAGACCAATTATATTGAATTTATATTGAAATTCAAATATGTAATTCATGAGATTAATGTTTTATCGGTTTATGGAAGTCGTGTAAAATGTTTACCTCTTTATGCACATTTCTTTGAATTTGGCAAAATCAAGCTCTCCATTTGTAATCTGCCTCAATAAGACCCCCTTTCTCTTTTTCTACACACTGCGTCCATGCCATGAGATGCGTTTTTTTATTTCGCCCTTTGGTTTTTTTCTTATTTTATTAAGTTTCCAGGATTGGAAGAAAGCGTCTAATAGAATCCACAATTCATCATCTACTGATGCGCAGTGGAGATGTGTTCTGTAGGAATTCTTTAGTTTAGTCTTCCGCAATAGAATTAGCATGTTTTTTTATCATCGTTTATAACATTGTTTTTTGCTCCTTCCTCAAGAGCATTACCAAATACGTTATCTGACACCAAAAACACACGATTATGACGTCACTTTAAATTACCTACCAGTATGAAATAGTTATAACAAGTGGCCGATGGACCACATCGCTCACCTGAGAAACTTTGGTCATGCTGTTCTTTAACAAGTCCCCCCTTCGTAATACAAATTTTGACCAAGCCCTATCCCCGGGGTTATGATTTGGACCGTTTAGAATCTACTTTTTCCTGAGATTCACATAAGTTTCAGCTTTTCTGGTCCAATGGCTCTAGTTCTTAAGAAGGTTTTTAAAGATATTTCCATATACATGTGTACTAGTATTTCAATGTAAAACTTGGATTCCCTATTGTGGCCTCTCCCTACTCCCAGGGGTCATAATTTGAGAATCTACACTTCCCAGGATGCATCCAGATAAGTTTTAGTGTTTCCTGCCCAGATGTTCTTGAGAAGAAGATTCTTAATGGTTGTTCCTATATATTTCTGTGTAAAACTTGCATTTGTGGCCCCGCCCTACCCCAGCGGATCATGATTTTTACAATCTAGAATCTACACTTTCCCAAGATGCTTCCACATATGTTTCAGCTTTTCTGGCTATGTTGTTCTTGCGAAGAAGATTTTTAAATGACCTCACCCTATTTTTGTATTTCCTTTATTATCTCCCTTTGGAAAAGGACTTGGCCCTTGATTTTCATAGTTTAGATTCCCCTACACCCAAGGATGCTTTGTACCAAGTTTGGTTAAAATTAGCCCAGTGGTTCATGATAAATGTTTACAGACGGAAGTACAGCTAGACAGACAGACGGACGGACAACAGGTGATCAGGTGCTCAGGTGAGCTAAAACTCAGTCATTTAAAATTGAAATATTATTTTTCAAGCTGTAATTTTTTTTAATTTTGTTAAGTGTTATTAATCAAGTGAAAAAAAATGCTTCAAAACAGTAAATACGTTTTATTTTACTGTAATGCGCGAAATACAAGCACGTATTGTGCAACAAAAGGCACAGCCCCCCCCCCCCCCCCTCCCCCCGTTAAAACAAGATTACTTTACCTTTTTAAAGTGGTCTCTTAAAATTGAGTATTATAGAGACAAAATTTAAAATAATAAACAAACTTTGTAAACATATATATTACTTACATTCACTCCCATAATCACTGCGGCCTGTCCTCTCCACATAAGTGCGCATTTTTTGGCTGATTTTTCTTTAGATTGACACTCTTCCCGCAGTTTCCTAAACAGTTTTACAATTTCAACGAATGAAGTCTGTTTGGAGTATTCATGTTTGGCATTGTGGTTCAGCCCAAGGAGCATTGCTTCCGTTGGTGTGAGGTTCTTATAAATATCAATGCACACCTTCTGAATACTTCCTTCCCTTTTCATCAAATTTTGAAGGGCTTGCCGCGTGTGGTTTCCTCCCAAAACCTCAATGTGGGGGAATCCCTCCACTTGCACTACATCCAGTGATGCATCTTCAGCAGTGACGTGACCAATCAGGACGGAAAACACTTGCGGGGTATCAATAAGTTGTTTTTCCAGTTCCCTGACGTGGGATTGGTCTAAATCCCTGACTTTTCTTAAAGGTGCAGGCTCAATCAAATTGCAGATTGGAACAAGTAGGTTTCTTCCTATAAAGTAGAGATAATTATAATTTTTTACAGACACCTCATTTGATTGTGGAAGAATCATGTTAATTACAATTGTCGGTATATTATATAAGCATTTAAATTAAAAAATTAACAAGAGGCCCATTGGCAACATCGTTCATCTGAGTAACTGTTCGTGCAGTTCTTTACCAAAATTCCCTTTTTCATGTTTTATGGCCCCCTACACCCCTACCCTGTCATGATTTTAATAATTAGAATCTACATTACCACAGGATTTTTCTGCATAACTTTAAGCTTTTCTGGCCCAGTGCTTCTTAGGAAGAAGATTTTTAAAGATTTTTTTCCTGGGTGTAATACTTGGATTACCAATTGTGGCCTCGTTCTACCCCCCAGAGGTAATGATTTTTAAATTTTGAATTTCTACTTCCCCAGGATGCTTCCATATAAATTTCAGCTTTCCTGATTCATTGCTTAATTCTTGAGGAGAATAGCTTTAAAGATTTTTCCTACTTCTATGTAAAACTTGAATTCCCTATAGTTGCCCGTCCTAACCTCAGGGGTCATACTTTTAACAATTTAGATTCTACACTAGCTCAGGATGCTAACACATAAGTTTAAGCTTTTCTAAGATTTCCTATTGTGGCCCCTCCCTTTCTCCGGGAGTCATGATTTATAACAATTTTATTTTAGAATCTACACCATCCCATGATATTTCATGAAATTTTTCAGCTTTTTCTAGCCAATTGCTTCTTGAGAAGAAGGTTTTTATAGATTTTTCCTACATGTATGTATATTTCTATGTAAAACATGGATTCCCCAGTGAAGCCCCGTCCTACCCTCAATGGTCATGATTTTAACAATTTAGAATCTACACTACCAAGGATGCTTCCACATAAGTTTCAGCTTTCCAGGCTAAGAATATGTTTAAATGACCCCATCCTATTTTTGTCCTTTCATTATCATCTCCCCCTATTAGGGGGCTTTCAGCGCTAGCAGTTCTTGAGAAGTTAAAAATGTCAAAAGTTTATACAGACAATCGAACGAGAACATCGGGTGATCAGAAAAACTCACTCGAGCTCTTAGCTCAGAAGAGCAGAAACGTTTGTTATATTTATTAAATAATAATTATTGTCTCGTTCAAGCGAGAGTAAAGCAGTTGAATTTTAACCGTACCCTCTTTCTTTCAAAGTGCATAAAATTTGCTAGAATAATTTATATAAAATTTTCAATTTATAATACACAAAATAAACAGATTTTTCGCTTAGTCACAAATAAAACTTACCCAACAGCTTTGTGTCCAGATCTTTAAAAGCAATCTGTTTTGATTCATTCTGAAAAGAATAAATACAAGATCATATTTAATTATCAAAGGCCTGAAGGGCCTGCAAAGTTGACGCGCTCGAGTCAATTGAGCTTTTTCATGGGCACTAAACCTTAATATACCGGTATTCAGCTTATTTGAGATTGAATATTATATGCCTGATCCATGTTCGGTTCATAAATAAAGTGTTTATTGCCTTTCCTTTATCATGTGTTTATATATACTGGTTGGCACTAATGGGCTTCTGTATTATTTTGACTGGATTCTATAATAAATTTAAGCACACCAGCTGCAGTGGTCAGTGTTCTGGAATAATTAGGTTAAGGTTTCGTCAAAGGTCAACATGTCTAAAAAATATTTTTACAAGTTATGGTATGAAGTCAAAACGTTTACATTTTGTAAATATATCACTGATTAATAGGTATTACTTAATAACAAATAAAAAAAAAAAATTTTGAGAAAAATTTTTTCAGAAAATGTGAACATTTTTTCGAAAAATGCACCTGCTTAATTCTGTCCTTTTGTGATAACCAACATTGTAGAAATAATATATGTTTATCATTGAACGGCAAGTTGGACGTGAATGGTCTCCGAATGTCATGTATAAAGACAAGACCCCTATAGAATCCGCCATTTGCAGTGTACATTTGTATTTTCACTTTCAAGTCTTAACATTTGGACAAAATAAACAGGGAAAACAACTTTCCAGAGGCTATCCAAGTCCAACTTGCCCTTCATTGACATTCATTTGTAGTTCGATATCTGAGAACTTTGAGATGAGACATTTGTCAGTATTTTTTTTATTTCGGGGAGTTTCATTTCTGCACCTTTTCAGTTTTAGTTTCTTTATCCGAGTTACAACAAACATGATAATAATCAAAGTACTGAGACAGTACTGAAAGACGGGGTCAAAATAATCTTCATGCTAGATTTCACAAGTGTGATTTTTTTAACGAGTTTTAATAACAACTTTTATTTTTTCATTAACATTCTAAAAACAAAACTATGAAAAATATACATTCACTTTTTTCATTTAATTTGATTTGAAGAAAAATTTTAATAATTGCTCAGTCTAGAAACCTTTCTGAACTTCTCCGAATTTCATCAGGTACGAACTAATAAATTTTCCGGAAGTAAACAATGGATGATGCGTACACAGCCATAATAATACGCAGGATAGTACTTTGTCTACTAGTGTTATTTACAGTTAATATTTTTAGTTTTAAATTATCAAAATACTTTATTAGTTGAGTTAGAGAAAGTTTCATATCAATTTCTTCAGTTTGATACAAAATGTTTATGTTTTGATCGACACAATTTCTGCACTCTTTCGTATGCGTAGATTTAATTCATGTGTTATCACCACCGCTTCCTTTTTCTATTTTTAGACCTCTGAGAGTAAACTAAAAGACGGGGTCACGTGACCCCGTCTAACAAAAAGGAAAACCATTCAGAGAGAGTGAACGTACATGTAAAGAACACATACATGGGAATAATTTTATACATCAATTTTATTTTTTCTTAACATTGTTGCTGCGTTTTAAAATTTGCCCAAATTTACGAGATCTTTAATATTATGAGAAATTAACAGCTGAATTAATTTAAAGACACTAGGTCTAGCATAATAATACTTTTTTCAAAAATTTCTTTCTTATACAATGTATCAATATACAATGGACATTTCAAAATAAATGAAATTCATCTTCTATATCATGAAGATTAGAACATGTACATAATCTATTATTTTTAGGTACGTTATGCTGTCGACCTGTTTCAATATTCAACGTGTGAATAGATAACCTGAATTTTGTTAATAGTTGTCTTAATTTGTTGTCAATAGATTTGTTAAATACCATTGCAAACATGAATTGTCGATTAAATGTTGATATAAATTACACTTTGAAGAGTTTGATATATTTTCTAACATAGCTTGCCTAGAAACATCTAACAGTCGTTATTTTATCATGAGATAAGATATATCATTTAAGGTAGTTCTATACTCGGCACTAAATGGGCTCAATCTTTAAAAATCTGTTTTTATAAGATAGACATACATCCCAGCAATGGATAGACACGAGAAAAGTTATATGTCAACATATTCACTTTTCCGCTATAGCCTATCTGAGTATATACCCCGAAATGTAAAATACTGAAATTTTACCTATCCTAGATATTGTTGTATATTAATTAATTTAAGTCTAAATATTCAACTTTAATACCCAAAATAGAGTAGAAACATGTTAGTAAACTATATTATATCATTGTTTTGCATGAATTATTATAAATAGATGCACTTTGTTAGGCTATTGTATCAAAATTTAATGTGAGAAAATATGCTCACAGGACAATCTCGGTCTTTTAAAAAAAATATGGACTCAAACTTTGTAAATTTGCATTATTTTTAATAAATTATATTTAAGAAAAATAATAAGCTTAAAAAAAATATATGTTGACGCATTACTTTTCGTGGTATGAGCTCTACACTAAAGGGACCCCTGTTACAACGCACTTTGAAAAATTACGCACTTTGAAAAAAATTTTCAACGTGCGTTAAATTTTGGGACTAAGTCAACGCACTTTGAAAAAATAAAATTTCTTTTCAAAGTGCGTTAATATGGACCATATTAACGCACTTTGAAAAAATATGTATGGATTTGTCAATATTCCTGCAAATCTTAGGTATGATAAATAATTGAACCTGTTTGATACTTTTTCTGTGAAGAGGTCACTTCAGGATGTGAAAGTGAGCGATTTTGATTTTTCCATACTTTGAAAATTCTTTCTCGCTTAAATGCTTTACTGTACTTAATTTTTTTTCAAGTTTGCATGCATTTTATGTTAACTTAAATTTATTGAAAGTTTTCAACGTCATACCAGTTATGTGAACACATATATTTGGGTGTAGCATAGGCATCAGTACCGGAAAGGGGGTTACATGTAGGCTTATAAATATTTTTCAAAGATATACATAATTAATATAAACATGTATGCATTAAAAATTGGGGCTTACCTGTGGGGTCAACTTTCAATTTGCTACCGACGGCTATGTACAATGTTTAAGAAAAAAAAGAGTTGGGATGAGAGACCTTCTACTCGTCTTCTCCTTGTTCTCAAAGATTTTAAATGAGTTCATGTAAATTTAAAAACGTTTTTCGAAATATATAATTATTACAATTTGATTTCCTCTATTACTATAAAATCTAAATCCAGAATTTTTATTTTCATGCATATCTTTTTTTCAAAGTGCGTTAAATGCCTCCATGGTAAAAAATGTTTATGTGCATTCTTAACGCACTTTGAAAAAAATTTTCAAAGTGCGTTGAGTGTGTCAAAAAATTAACGCACTTTGAAAAAATTTACACACTTTGAAAAATTTTTTCAAAGTGCGTAATTTTTTCAAAGTGCGTTGCCACAGACCCCCCTATTTTCTTTCTACCAGAAGTAATATATTGCCACGGATTTCTGTAATACTGTTAATGTTTGAGTGTATACTTGTACTAAAAAGGTTGTACACAATTTAAAACAATAATTATACACACCCAAACCTATTGTCCCTAAAATTTATCTTTAATATTTTACTCAAAAATAAATAAATAAATATATAAAACGCACTTGTCTGTAAATTGGAGACGATGAAAATGAAAGTAATTCACTGATTCTCAGAAACTGGATGATTTTGCTACAGAAAGTAACGAAGTGTGTGCAAGTGAATCAACTTTTGTCAAATTCTTATTCAAAAGATAATTTTGCATTGGGATTCGTGGGTAAGCTGGTTGGGGAGGGGGGTATGTGTTTAATGCAATAATTATTATTCAAAGTAAATTTTGTAATGTTTAATTAGTAAAATCCATAAATTGTCTAAGTCAAATCGTAGTCATTACTTTTCTTCCGAATCATCACTTTTAGCTTCAACTTGGCCGCCGATAGTCGCCTTGATAGTTTGATACATATTCTGATGTAGCATGTATATAGCAAGTGTTTTCGGCGCGGCATAAAAAACATGCATCATTCACATAAATATCGTTTTATTACCTAATTATTTCTGTCAACCGAAAGTTATTTCCATCCTTCTCTTTTAAATTAATTTATCCTTAAACTGTAGAATATGTGTTTGTTGACGCGACCGACTTCGAGCAAAATCGTTACCGGATATTTAAAACGCTTAGTAAAAGTCAAACCAATATAGTTAAAAAATCTCATCTCGGAAAAGGTAATTGCGGTTCCGGTTTTACTATTCGTAAATGACGTAGTGCGAGTATAGAACTACTTTAAATTATCTTTTGTCCAAAGCATAGGCACTTGGGGTATGGACCCCCCCCCCTTTCCATTTTTTTTTTCTTTTTAAATCTGGCTTCGATTCACCTTTTACCTAATTTTCTATTCTAATATGCACTATATGTTATCAAAAATGCAACTCTTTTGTCTCTACAAGCTGTTTTTAAAAATGCCGTTTTTCACTCTCTTTATATGTATCAGTGAAAAACGGCATTTTTAAAAACAGGCTTGTAGACAAAAGAGTTGCATTTTTGATAACATATAGTGCATATTAGAATAGAAAAATAGGTAAAAGGTGAATAAACCATTTTTAAAAAGAAAAAAAAATGGAAAGGGGGGGGGGGGGTCCATACCCCAAGTGCCTATGGTGTCAAAGTTGACCTATAATCTGGAGATGAAGTAAACATATTCAATTAAAAGTAAACCCTCTTTCTAGTTAAAATATACAAAACATTTTTGGAATGATGAAGTTGACTTTAGGGATTCAGTACTTTTATTAACATAGTGCATCGTTCTTTCCTTTAAGATTATGTACTGCTACCCTCATTGGATGAAACAAGTGGATACTATAACTTATTTTTAAGAAATGTACACTGTAATATGTTCTACGGTGCGACCGTTGGGGCGAGCGCAGTTATTTACAATCAAAAACCTTAACACAACTTTATATATATATGCAGATATGTAGTTCTCCAGAAAAAATAACAAGAGGCCCACGGGCCTTATAGGTCACCTGAGTATCATGTAACAACTTTCCAGCGATTGCATTTGGTTCGTGTTTTAATCCAAAAGCCATGAAATTCACAAATTTTGAAGAAGGCACCATTGCTTATCAAAGGGCAAATTTCAAAGCATTAATTTATTTTTTGTCAAAGTACCCCCTTGGTACCCCTGACCCAGCGTCCCTGAAAGTATCTATTTTGAAAGAGGCCCCTTTCTTCATTATAAGGCCAGCATTTTTTTTGTTTAGGTTTAGTTATGAGCATGAGAATAAAAAAGTCCCAAAGGAGAAGGAAATCAAAATTTTTTTTAAATCAATTATTAACATTTGTTCATTCTTTTTTTATGCTATTATAATAGGCTCCTTACCAATAGACACATAATGCTTACAAATAGGAAAGTAAAACATTTAATTGCTTATTTCATCATCTGCCAGTTTGGGCCAGTTATATAAATTTTGTGATGTTGGTCAAAATATATTTTAAAAAATCAATTCTTTAAAAGTCTTTCAATATATCTTCATTTTTTTTTAATATGTGTTAGGTGAATGTGTAGACATTGTTCTAAAATTTAATCCTATCATAAACAGACAGATATTGCGGGTGTAGGGTGAACATTTTTTCAATCAAGAGTAAAATAATTTTTCTGGCTGATACAAATAATACTACATGCCTGTATATATTTGTATATTCTTCATCTTGCTTTAACAATTTCTTCCTCAAATGGACTGAACTTCTCCCATAGTTTTATTCATTATATCTGATGCATAAGCAACCCTTTTCTGAAGAATGATGCTTAGACTGTAAGCTATAACAGAGACCTAAACAATGTTGCTGCCCGCTGGCAATATGCAACAGCTACCACGGGCAGTTTTACAACCTGGGGGAGGAAAATAATTTACAGACAGATACTTTTGAAACAAATACATAATTATCTTACCAGCATGTCATTGTGCAACAAATGATCAGCATTTTATTTGTCCTTTGAACAGGTGAAACATTTTAGATGGCACTTGTATCGATGAATTTTACACTGAACCAAGCTATCTTTCAGGATCTCGCTTTAAACCGGAAGTGCGGATTCGTAAATGTGAAATCTCAATCCCGACTCAAATTTGACATCGGAAAGAAAAAAAATTGTTAAATTTTTACCTGAACATTCAAAACCTTGAGCGGAGGGTTTGTAAAACTGAAAATAAAATAAATCCTGGCCTTAAATATGTAATTAGTTCATAAGCATGTTAACCAGGATGTTCAAAGAATTCATGCATTTCAATATATAATCATTAGAGCCCCACCCCAAAACAAGAACCCCTGACCCTGGGGCCATAAAATTTATCATTTTGGTAGAGGCACTCTTTCTCATCATAACTATGTACTTAGTTAGTTTATTTGATACCCAGGAGCAGAGGAGAAGATTTTCAAAGAATTCATGTATTTTCACTATATAATCAATAGAGCCCCACCCTAAAACCAGAACCCCTGACCCTGGGGCCATAAAATTCACAATTTTGGTATAGACACTCTTGCTCATCATAACTATGTACTTAGTTGGTTTATTTAATACCCAGGAGCAGAGAAGAAGATTTTCAAAGAAATAATGCATTTTCACTATCTACTAATTTAGCCCCACCCTAGCACTAAAACCCCTGACCCAGGGCCATGAATTTTACAATTTTGATAGAGGACTCATTGCTGATTACAATCATGCAAACAGTTTGACTGCTTGATGTCCAGGAGTAAAGAAGAAGATTTTTAAAGATTGCATTAATTTTAGTGGTTTTGGCCCCACCCCTCAGGCCCCAGGGGGGCAGGGATCATGAAATTCACAATTTTTGTTTCCCTTCACCTATAGATACTTTGTGACAAATTTGGTTGAAATTGGTTCAGTGGTTGCAGAGAAGAAGCTGAAAATGTTCAAATGTTAACGCACGACGCACGACGGACGACGGACAAAAACAGATAGCAATAGGTCACCTGAGTTTACTCAGGTGACCTAAAAAGACAGACCAGAGAACTACAGTGCCATCCATTGAAAAAACTGTACAATGTACCGGTATATTTATTGAGCACATAATGCGCCGATTCTCGATTTACTTCAATTCTTTCTTATTTTTAAACTTCCATCTTAAAATATCATTAACCGTGTGTTCCTAACAGTTTCTTTGACTGTCTCTACAACAAAACAATCCTTATAATTGTTGTTAATAGCCCTACTGGTCCTGAAATTGAGATCATCAAACATATCGTCCATTAATTTTTAATTTATACTGTCATTTTGGTTTGCAAGATAATCCAATCTAACGTCCCTTTGCAGATCTATGTCAACTACGAGAGTACTTCATAGAGTAAGGAATTTTTCTTAATGTATATGTTTGAAATTGGGAAAAGAATTTGATCGAATTAATCCAGAACTAAGCAAAACTTTTTGTGCGGAATAAACATATATATATTACAGGTTTTTTTTTCAATGGGTGGAACTGTAGCTCTCCGGTCTGACAATTTTTTTTTCCGGAGTGGTACAGATCTGCAACTAGTTACATAATAATGGGGAGCAACATTATATTTGATGATATTAAGAAAAATGTGTAGACATTGGGCTTAAATAAAAATAAAAAAAAATGAACGAGTATTCGGCCAGTATCATTTTGTACAATTTTATCCTAACCCTGTCACCAGGTCCGCTACAATATCCTAAAATATTTAAGACCACCCCCCCCCCCCCCCCCAACATGTCAAACCTAAATTAAAAACATACTCAATGATTCAAGTAAAGCTACTGGTACTTCCGATTTTAACTTGCAAGTCGGCAAAATACTGGGCAGGGACGATCAATATTTATGTTTCTCTTTAGAACTGTTACATAATTAAGGGAACGCATTAATTCCGGATTACTATAAAATAAGCAGACCATCTATAAGTGCCTGTGTCAAAAGGTGCTCAATTTATCTTTTAGATTATCATTATTTTTATCATATCTTAAAAATATGTTTACTCACAGTGTTTATTTGATCATCTGCATCATTGTTATCATCTGCAGTGTTGTTTTGTTGAGATGAGCTACTTTCAATGGAAACACTCGCCGCATTGCTGCTTCCCGTGGCTTCTGTTGAACTGGCAACCGCAGCAAGATCCTACAATTTACATGAATTGTACATATTTTTTGACAATATGCATTTATTTCATCAAATATTTCATTATAAATAAAGACATACACAGACAGGCACAAACAGACATAATACTTTGGGACTTAATCAACCAACTCCGCAGACCTACCCTACCTCCTCCCGTTGAGTTCTCTTTTAGTGTTTTTTTTTTTTTTTGAGTCGCATCGTTTTCGATGCAGCCTCATTGTTATCACCTGGCAATTCTTTCTTATAAATCTGAACTGCGGCGGCAAAGGACTCAACAATATTGATTCTTAATACGTTATTAAAAATAGTGCTTATGTACATTGACAAGTTGGCAATATCCATTGTTAATTTTAAACTGCTAATAACACAAAATCTCACACATACATGTTGTTTTAACTTTGATTTTTTCCTTATAGTTTTCATTTAAGTACTGAAAGCAATTTAACTCACATTCATTTTCCAGTGGCGAAGCATATTTTTGAAAGGGAGGGGGCTGAAAAAAACGTGTCACCCCACCCCAAAATGCCCAATCTAGAAAATCATTTTGCGTTGGGAAGAGGTGCAGGTAGATTCAGCTCCCCTCAGAACCAGATCCACATACTCCATGAATCTCATTTGACCCTTACCGTTTCAGAAAGTGTGTGTGTTGGGGGGGGGGGGGGGGCTTTCAACATCAACTCTTACTCAAGTATTTAAACAATGTGGAAAATGGACCAAAGAACACACCTCATATATTCAGTTTCTTCATTCTTATTTAATCTTACATGTATTTTCATGTTAAACTTGGTCCTACATACATGTATACATAAAGTGTATTGAAGTAAAATTATTCACACTTTCTCGTAGCCGAAAAGAGAAAAAGTTATTAAACTTAAAAATGCACTAAAACATATCATTTCATCTTCATCAGTTCTAATACGAGTATACTGATATTCTAATATCAAAATTAGACTGTAATTTACTTAATATATATACCTGAACACACATGTTTTCTCTTTTTGCCCATTGTAGAAACGCTGTCCTTGATGTTCGACACATTTTATCAAAATTCGCGTGTTCGGTGGAATCAAAATTTTTCAGCGTCAGAAAGAGACTTCTTCCCTCTTTTAAGGTGACCTGAATAATTATAAAAATACATAAATAGAATAGTATTTCTTTAACAAAGACCTGAATTTACGTAATGAGAGTTTTAAAATCATTACAGTGTACATATGTAAGTTTTGGGGTGTAAAATTTAGTGCGGATCATGTACACTGATGTATGCTACACAAAAAAAAAATCCTACCAAGTAAAATTAGAATTGGACTAGCAATGAAGAAGAATGTGTATTTAACGTAAACATTGCCTAGATAAATGTTTATTTACCTTGATCATCCCAAACTTGTTACTGCTACTGATCATCTTAATTTCGCCACTGTCTTTGTTGTCCAATAAAAGATGTCCATTAATATTAAAAGTCCACATATTTGTATACTCCAGTTGTGCGTAAGTATTAAGACTGTAAGAAATAGATAACTGGAACTCATGAAAATTCGGTATATGTATGTTCAGATAAATATTCTTAGAAAGTGTGGGCGGGTCTGCTTTATCAATGCGACCAATCATATTCGATTAATATTTAATTATTACTGGCCGCCAAGAGATGATTGGTGTTTTCGTAGTTGTGCGTTTATGCGAAACTAAGAAATTAAGAGTATATATAACGTTACACAATTTTAAGAATGTGTCTATAAATAAACAAAAAGCATAGAAATTATAATTTTAATGTTTGGAATAAAGGAGTAATTCAAGTATATCTAGAAAATAAATAGAATTATAGATTGATAATGCTACATAAACATATACTTTTAAAATGATATTTTTTTTATCAGCTTTCCAATACATGTTTTGTTTCAGTTCGATGAAATGTAGTACAATCAAATCATATAACTGACGTTACGATACAAGAACTTATCTAGCATAACAAACCATAAATGACTGCATGGAGTACATCTATCAAAGAAAAAAAATGAAGGAAGGAAGAACAATACATATAAAAGAGACTATTTTTGATTAGGTGGACAACATCTTTTCAAGTCAACTCTTAACATTCTTGTCCTTGTTTTTGCACACGTTTAATTATTTGAATAAAGGATAAACAAGTATGTTGTAAATTTAAGAGTTATTGCTGTCAGCACTCACATCTACCAGAAAGTATTTAATGGGTCTGCTGGATTGAATTGAACAAATTTTATTGACAATTAAAGCCAAAAGGATAAGACACAAGTTCTGAAAAAAAACTTAGATATACTTTTCTTCTTATTAAAAATTTTATAACATTGCCAAAGTAAAGAATAATTATTTTCAGTAACAATTAGTAGTGTCAAAGACTGTAAAACTCTTGATACCAGAACACAATGTCACATATACAAAAAATTAAAATTTTTCAGAGAATCGATTACATTCTTTTAAAAAGGTTTGAATAACTTTAAAAATTTCTACATTTTGTTGAAAAGAGAATTAATCAACACCCCATAACATCAAATGGACATCTATAATGCACAAATTGTTGAATGATAATAAATTATTCATGAGAGAATATTGGCCTGCTGCTGAGCAAAGCTGAATATTACATAAATCTTTATTTCTTGTATAAGCAATTTGTTATCATAAACATGGAAATTAAATTTCGAATCGGAATATATATAATAAACTTTTTTTTTCACTTAAGACTCTATTTACTGTCAATTTCGTGTTAAACATTTAATCCTTTGCAAGCTATATTTTTTTTTATTTTTGGTAGATTTCCTCTTCATAAAAAAATCTGTTTTATTATTTTTGACCGCGGGTCAAATTTTGCCAACTGAGTTTTAGAGTGAGTGGAAGAAATGAATCGCTGAAATTACTTTTAATCAAAATGAAACGTTCCAGGATTTTCCATTGTTCATACTGGAGATGAGACAAAACAGAGGGGCTCACCAGTGATGTTTAAAACAAACCGAGGAATCTTGGTTTACGCACGTAATTGCATTGTAAATTCAAAATTGGTATCGGGAAAATTTCGTGGAATTTTTACATGTGTGGTCAAAAAGACTTTCATTTTTTTTTATTTTAACAGCATTACTTAACTTTTTTAACATTAATTGAAATTCTGACATAATATAAATTGCAGTAATTTCCCACGAATATCTTAATGGTCCGTTTTGTTTACATGTTATATTCCCCAGCTTTTGTTCAGTCCGGCAACACAACGGGGGTTATAGTTGTCAGTATTTCTTAATCATCACTTCCAGCTTATCTCAAATATCTGCTTTCGTAAAGCGATTATCAATTGCCCGCGAAGTCGATTAGCGTATGCAATCTGATCTACAACACAGTGTAAACAGCAGGAAGAATGGTGGACATACTTCCTCAAAGACTTTTTTCACAAGCCGATACCACTTATTACTGAACAATGTGTTGGTGATAAACAAAGAAAAAACTACATATATACGGAGACATACGATCCTAAAGCATGAGATATTCTTATTATAATTAATCGGTATTAACATCTTTTTTAAAAAGAAACTTTAAATTAATCATTTCTTTCCTTCGGAAAAATTATCATTTCTTTCTCTTTCCTAACTACATTACTAAAGTTCAAAAAAAAAAACAAAACACACACACAAAAAGGGGAAAAACAATCTTTTTATGTTAAGTATGCCAAATGATTAAATTTCAGACTTTGCATTTATCTGGTATTAGCAAGAGCAATAATGAGAGGGTCTTCTTCAAAGGCTTTTTGAGGGTCAACCTTATGTCTCCTTTTTACAAAAACATACAGAGAGAGAGAGAAAGACAGAGAGAATAATTGATTGCAGTTTAAAAATTCTGTAGACAAGCATTTATCAAATTAAACTTTATTAGAATATTACTTACATTGTATCTACGGCAATTTGAATTGTTATTTCAATATTAGTGATTGAATTTCTAAATATATTACTGGAGGTATTTTTTGCATTTGTATTTTAATAAATACTCTATATTAAACATGTAATAGTTCCCTCAGGCATGGAGAAATATTAACTCGTTTATTCTAACCATTATTTAGAACCTTGTTATTACTTGTAATCTTTGTTCTACCCTTGTTTTGAATTCCAATCGTGAAACATTTGTAGATTGCGTATATTACTAAAAGCTGGTATACTTATTATATTAACGTACATGTATTATATAAACATATCCATGGTCCTACTAAACGGAGAGCGGTAAAGAACTTTTGGAAATCTTAAAGAATTACCCCAAGGATTTTAAATTAAATTACTTTATTATGTATTCTTATACTAAAAGATTTATGAAGAAAACACTTTCAAAAGAAAAGTAACAAATTAGCTGCAGAATTGTAGCTCTAGAGATAAAAATATGTTGACGGACCGGTAACAAATAAAAATGAAATTAAATCGGGATGACATTTTTTTTACCAATTATTTTATACAGGACAAATTTCGAAAAATAATATTTTTCCTTTATATTCTAAAAGGATATGATATAGAAAAAGAATGTTAGATTTTTTTTATATAGAATACACGAATATAGCCAGATGCAGTGCTAATGGGAAGATAAGCGTTACGGACCGCGGGGGGGGGGGGGGGTAGTTTTAACTTCGCCGTTGCTTGAATCACACCATTTCGCTGATTCAGTCTGAAATGTATGTGTCAGGAATATTGTGTACCGTCTCATTGATTTCATTGGCGATTGCGCCATTACCACCCAATGTAAGTAATGCCTGTTCAGTTTGAATAAATGAATCGCATTAATTAAATAAAGTGCAATTTGTAGAAAAACAAAATTTAAATTAAAACGAATTTCAGCAGAAAAATGAAAACAAGGAAAGTGAATCAGAAAATGAACTGGGAGAATCTTTGCTGGATTTAGAGCCTTCTTTTTCTGTCCTACAAAATCTTGGAAGCTCTCTGTTATCAGAAGATGCCTTCGGAGACTCTTTACTCTCCGTGCCTGAAAGAACACAGAGTGAGTCAGTCGAACAGGATTTGGAAGGACAGGTACGTAAGTTTTCTTAATTTAATACATGTATTTTATTCGTCGAGGGACACATGCGCGCTTGTCTTAATGCATACCAAAGCAATATACATGCAAAAGATATAGGATTCCAATTTGTAGCAATGTATGAATGAAATTGAGTATTGTAAGAAGATGGACCACCATCCCACCCCTGACCCCCCTACGATTTAATAGAATTATTGTTGAACAATGACTTTCCAAGTTCTCTGATTTTCAATCATTTTTTCCCTCTGCTACTCCTCACTTTGAAAAGAAAGATGCTATATAGGTCCCTGATAATGAATTTGCTATGATTTGAAGATTAAAGATTTAAAAAAAAAAAATAAATCAAATTTAGAAGAGATAAATAAGGAGTGTTAGTCATTAATGTCTATTTTATTGACCATTAAACATATCTTTGCTACGTGTTCTGAGGGAAAGACATGATACCTGAAATGCATGGCTTTCAAAACTTTTAATTTAGATATAAACTACATGTACATGTATTACATAAGGAAAGCCGCTTCTTATAGTCTCAGTTAAACTAATTATTGTTTCCGTTCTGCGTTTTAGTACACAATTTGAAGATTCCAACGCCCATAAGCTTATACCTTAGTGTATACATTCTTAATGCATTTAATGGTTATCTTCAAAGCGTTTTGAATTAGGTTTGAAATATTGAGGGTAAATTATATAAAATATGTGTAAATGAAAATTTCTTGGGGGGGGGGTGTTAAAGGATGCAGTCAGGCAATATTTGTACACTTCCTCCAAATTTGACCATAAAAACCCGAATTATCCTTTGTTTTGATAAAAGTTATATTTTATCAAAGAAGCATTTTAATTCCTGCATACTGCACCAGCATTTAATATTTGTAATCGGACTGCTCATTTTATTCGATTCAAGAAATGATTAAATTTATAATCATGACCATTATGTCATATACATGTATGTACTTCGAATCTCTCAGAGAGAGAGAGAGAGAGAGAGAGAGAGAGAGAGAGAGAGAGAGAGAGAGTAATTACCGGTATGATATAAAACATTTGAATAAGAAAATTATTTGAAAATATTTGCGATTTTATTTAAATATTTTCATTTGAAAAAGACCCCTCCATGAAAAATGGTACCTTATACGACTTTTTATTAATTTTTCAGGTGGCACATAAAGTAAAAAAAAAGGAATTGATAGATAGATTAGCAGAATCTTAGAAAATACCTCTAAGACATAGCTGCAGATCAGCTCTCTAAAAATTTAATGATAGATCGGGTCTATCAATATATATTTTTTCGGAGAGTTACAGATCTGAAGCTATTAAACATGTCTAAGACACTGGGAGTTATCCCCCTTGAGATAAAGGTTACCTTGCCTGTTTACGCCTATCCTACAACACATTCAAAGGCAAAATTCCTCGATATCTGATGTTTTAATTATTTTCGACTGACACTCTCCTTCCCATCTTTGTCTATGAAACACCACCCCCTTTCCTCTTTTCTTTCTACATGTAAATCTGGGGTCGAGTCCATATTTTTAAAAACAGCTTATAGAGACAAAAGAGTTACATTATTGATAATATGTAGTGAGTATTAAAATACAAAAATAGTGAAAAAGTGTCCCGACCCCAGATTTTAAAAAAAAGAAAATGGAAAGGGGTCCATATCCCAAGTGCATGTGCTAAAATCAGCGTATTTCTTGCTATTCGGAACATCTCGGACTTTTTACAGAAGAACACAAAACGTAGGCTCTAGGGATATGACCCCCCTTTCATTTTTTTTTCTTATTCTATTATCTACTATAATTATGTTATAAATAATGTAACTCTTGTATACATTTATGAATACCTGGTATGTACACGTATCAGTCAAAAACGAATATTAAAAACAGTTTGTAGTTTTTAAAGTAGAAAAAAATGGAAGGGGCAGAGCCCAAGTGTGAACGGTTACAAATTCAAACATTTAATTTTTTTCCCTTTCCTTTTAAATGACTTTTGTTTACTCTTTTACCCCAGATTTAAAAAAAAAGAAAATGGAAAGGGGGGCCATACCCCAAGTACATGTGGTAAAATCAGCCTATTTCTTCGCTATTCGGAACATCTCGGACTTTTTACAGAAAAACACAAAACTTTCTGTCCCGAGGTGTTCTCGATGTCCACCTCCTAATATACCAACTAAGAATTTTTTTGGGAAAAAAAAAAATCCTGTATTGAAATTGGGTAAAGTGGTTTTTGTTTGTTCTTTTATTTTTTTTTCATTATACTTGTTTCATTTAAAACACGTTATTAGTGAACCTGTATAGGATTATGACCCCCCTCCCTTTTCAATAAAGGCCTCATAGTCATATCATTCTTTGAAAATAAATTTCTAAGCTTTTATTTTAAATATGAAACAAAAGTTGAATCCTTCCCTCTACAAAGCTGACATTATTTGTCTCTAATCACTTTTATATGAAGATTATAATTACTCTTTGATAGATGTCAGTTTAAAGCTAGGAGAAGATCCACATAATTTCTTCCCATGGTTTTGAACTGAAACGAGTAGACATGGAAATGGAATTTAACAGTTACTCAAGTTCAGCATCTTTTGAATCCCTTCTTTAGTCTGTAATTTTTTTTTCAGAGTTTTATTTCTATAAACGAAAGCTGCTTTATGACTTCCACACCTTTGAAGGAAATGGAAATTCCAAGTCATTCAACGAGAACAGAAACTAAGGTAGAAGACTATATGGAAATACATTTAACCCTTTTACTTTCAGAACTGTATAGGTAGAAGACTATATGGAAATACATTTAACCCTTTTACTTTCAGAACTGTATAGGTAGAAGACTATATGGAAATACATTTAACCCTTTTACTATCAGAACTGTATAGGTAGAAGACTATATGGAAATACATTTAACCCTTTTACTTTCAGAACTGTATAGGTAGAAGACTATATGGAAATACATTTAACCCTTTTACTATCAGAACTGTATTCAATTTGTGCAGTTTATACGCCAGAACTTTTGCTTAAAAGTATCATAATGAATTAAATATTACTTTTTAAGATAATCAACATCCTACATGTAAAGAAATTTTTTGACTGTAATGATAAGACCAATGTGCTATAGGCCTATAGGTAAACATTTAAGTAAAGAAATATAGTTAATACATTTAAATTAAAGCTTTTCATACAATTCTGAACACGGAGAACGCCTCGTTTCACCTAATAATACAATTTTATCTTCTCTATAATGTGTTATTTAAATCTTTTGTATTTTCTTCCCAAACCGGAGAAAATTCCGAGAATCCAAATTAAATTGTCATATCTTTATAACGCAATGGACTTAGATTTTGTAATTTACGGAAAATTTCTATCTTTATATTAAGTAATCATACAAATAATAAGTTCTTATAATTTTAGTCTAAGAAATTTCACTGAACATACGCCATATATGGCTTTAAATGTGTTCCGTGCTAACAAAACATGTTGCTTTAAAAATTGGCAACAGAGTTCTAATTAATCAAATGGAAGGAAACTTCACAGTTTGATAAAATAAAAGAAAATCATTCCGTAAAAGAAATAGCGAAAAGATTTAAGGAGGACTGATTTTTATATATTCTATTTGTAACCATAGTAACTGCATAGTTTGATTAAAACTTTGAAGTCAGCAGATGACAACAATTCTGAAGGGTAAAGGGTGACAATAATGTAATTTTGTATCAACTTCAAACATGTCAAAAAAGCTTATAAATAGTTCTTCCATTGCAAATATGAGCATTAATTCTTATAAAAACTTTATAAATCTTCTTATTTTCTGACCTTGAAATAGTTTATAATAATTAGTTTTGCAACAAAAATTTCAAAAAATTGCAGCTCATATTGTTTTAAATTTTTTAAAATTTTAATTATTTTAAAAAAAAATTGGTATAAACAAATTGCTAAAATCGATTATTCATATTGAAATGATTTGGTAATGATTATGAACTAGTTTATACTGACATTTCCAAAATTTACAGTAAAAACAAAGAATTAAATAGTTTTAAATTTATAAACAATTATGTGAATGTACGTATATTTATCATGTTTATAGGTATCAAAGTATTGCAGAACCGGTCTAAAATTCACTTCGTCGACTCCTGTGAAAAACACAAATCAATTTGGGTCTGATGCTGAAATGGAGACAACAGTAAGTACATTTAAATTAACATTTAATGCCAAGTTTTAAAATCGGGTGATGTATTGCTATTCGTTTTTATCTATCCTGCGTTATGCCTCGTGTGTTAGCATTTCGCAAATCTTGCTTCAAAGTATACACTTGGACCAATAAACTATTGCGTTGAGTGACGACACTGATGAATCTGACTGAAAAACAATTGCGATATCCAACAAAGAATCTTTTTGGTGCTTTTCTATAAGCCCACCCACTTTCACATGGAAACAGCTGTAAACAAGTGATAGGCCTTTACTTACTGAGCGAAGACTTCGGAAGTATAAGTGGACCAATAAGTACATGCTTGATGTAAATGTAATACCTATCTGATATTATTGTGAGTTTGGGTAACCTGTATAATGATCTTGAATTCTTAAATAAAATCTGATTAAGAGCCGGGAGAAGTTGACTTAAAACAATACACGTCACACATGGCATATTTTTGCGATTGAAAAACGGGGCCGTTTTCCGTTTATTTCTTCAGTATATTAATAAAACTAAAACGTACTTAAATTTGGAAAATGTATTAGTGATATTAATTATTTTATAGTGAACAAATGAATAATATTGATGTATTCGCCATTACCGTAAAAAGTGCGCTCATTGAAAAAAAAAACACAATGATTTCGACTTGTTTTAATATCACCATGACGACAGTTAAAAAAGCAGTAGCACACACACATTTGAAACATGGTATTTTTGATAGTCGTAACAAAAAAAAAACAGTAAACTTTTGAATAAATCCAATGTTTTACCACATATAAGTTGGATATGCTTTTACGTAAGTACGCGGTACAACACCGAAAACGAAAAATGCCGTGAATAGAAAATTCAGATTAAATAAAAAATAAAAATAGGTGTGTCATCCAATGCTATAAACATGAACTGTCTGTGAAAGGAATATATCCATGCTAAAAAGTTATTTTATAGTTTGTTTTTGTGTGTGTTTGTGTTTAGTTCAAAGAGTCACCATCAATTTTAGACAATCATATGGCCGTTGGACGCTTTCCAACTCGGGCGTTATGCAGATATTGCACGAGAGTGGGCGGGTCCTAATCAACCAATTAAAATGCTTGTTTTTTGGAATGAACCCCGTGATTCAAATTGTTCAATTGTCAAATCCAAATGTACGTATCAATACTCAAGGCAACGCTATTTAGGCCGCAGTGTAATACTTTCAGGCGAGATTTGCGATAAAACAACAACTAAGTGAACTAACCAATTTTTGCCTAACTAATCTATAGGCGAAGGGAAAAAACGTGAATTGCGTTGGAATGAGGGGAAATCAATCAGGATATTGTGTGTAAAACATCATGCTATATACATGATATATAAATATTGTAATTTTTAGGAATTTGATGGCTAGAATGTAGTAGCATAGCAGGGTCAAGTTCTACTTTCGAAGAGGCGCAATTCGATCTATCTTTTGAGAGTAGTTTTGAAAATACACGTAATCTCAACGGAAAAACGTCATCAAGAACTAAGAAAATATCAGGTGTGTTAAGTTCTTCGCCATCTGAATGCTAATTTTTTTTATTGTGTATTCTTTGGAAAAAATAATAAGTTTTTAAACTTGTGCCCAATCCCTTTGTAATTAGAAATTACAATAAAATTTATTCAAACCAAAAATTTATTTCATCAACACACTTTTTAATTCACTCGATGAAACATATCTTGTTTGAAGATAACATATGATTTGTTTAATTCTAGTGAAAGCACTATCAAACCAGCAAAAGTTACTAAAGAAAGCCATATCAACTGCCGTGAACTGCCTCATCAGATCCAGAAGATGCAAATTGTCCTGTCTTGCAGGAATATCAGTTGATTTTGTAAAGCGAGAAAGAACAAAAGTCTGGACGAAAAATTTTGAAGGCAGGGTAGAATGGTTCTCTGATAAGTATTCGGAGGCCATTAACAAAGAAAGATCAATAAGATTTACAGTCGAAGATGGAAAACAAATATGCTCAAAATGTTTTCAAAACTTTTATAGACTTGATAAGTCCTTCTATTACAAATACGTAGCTAATTTTGAGCGAGGTGCAGTTTCCGCAGGCTTCCGAAATTATAAACAACACCACACAACAACAGAAAAAGCGATAGAATGGATGCATGATTTTGCCTTGTTTCATGGGGATCAGATGCCTGACAAAGGAGTTATTCTTTTAGCTTATAAAACTAGAAAAATAGACATTTATAACCAATACGTTGAGGAAAAAATCGAAAAAATGCAACGAAGTGTATCAAAGGCAAACTTTTACAAGATTTGGAAGGAGAAATTTCCACACCTGAAGATAAAACAGGTAAGACTGCAATAAAATCTACCTTTAAATAATTTTTTTCTGCAAATTATTTAATTAAAAGTTTAGAACACTACTAGAAACTTTGTATACTAATTGAAATTACATATCCATTTGTAAAGACGAATTATGATTAGAAAAGAAATGTACTCTGTGTCCATAAAATGTTTTAGGTACTTTATTTACTGACATTTATGATTTACTGTCTTGTACTTCCTTTCTTCAAAAATCGGAGAACTGTCTATTGCTTTATTTTAAAAAATTATATTCTTTATAGTTGTAACACTCAAACACGTTCTTAAGGTTTGCACTATTCAGATGAAGAGGAGGTCCTTAAAAATAAGTCCGTTAGTATTACAGTAATAATCATGGTTTATCAATTTAATCTATATTTTTTATATGTTTTATATAATATTTTTTTAGACGAACTCTTTTTCAAAGTGTAACACGTGTACTAAATTGGATGCTCAGCTCCAGGTGACAAGAGATCCCTTAGAGCGTGAAGAAATAAAGGGTCTCATCAAGGCACATAATTACCGACAGATGTAAGTAAAAATTTAAAAAATCAAATAAATAATTTAAATTCGTTTCTTACCGGCCGCGGACATTTGATCACAAAAATCTATATATTGAATTTTAGGTGGAGAGAAAATACTACTATTCCAAACGGAATCAAGCGAAAGAAAATTCTCGAAGATTTATGTCGATCATTATAGATGGGATGGATCAGAGTAAGTACACGTACATAAGTACCAAAGTTAACATGTAATCATGACTAAATGAAGAATGCATCATATAATAGATGATCACATTTATTTTGAAGTGATTATATTGAATGTTTTACTTTCCATTTATCCAGTTTGTATATTATTTTATGAATTAATTCAAATTTTACAGTGAAAACGAACCTTCCTCACTTTCTTGGTAGACGATCTAACGATCTAGATGTAGCGAATTTGTTGTCAACTCACATCCAGGGAGTCATTAATCATGGATTGGAGAAGTTCACCAAATACTTGGATATTAATGAATATGCCCATGATTCAAACATGGTCATTAATACAATTTTAAAGGAATTATATGGAGCAAGCCTGCAAATGGTAAATATTTTCCCCCCAATTTTGACATAAACATCTCTTTCTGTATCAAATAATTACACTATATGATTTGCTGGAAAATGTAGAGGTATTTCAATATAACACTGTATTAATAATTAAATGACATGAATGAAATATTGATTCAGTTGGTTTTCTCGTATTTCTAAAAAATCCATTTTAATATTTCATCGAACGTAGGCAAAGAAAAGAATATGCATTTCATGCTTTTTAAAATTCTTTTGTCTTCCCCATGTTTCTTAAGCTTAATAAACATCAGCTAATATATTCTCACAATGAGGAAGCCAATGTCAAATAAGCTAAACATCTAATTTATTTCATAGGGTAACTTTCTTCCACCAACCTTGTATATTCAGGCAGACAATTGCTTCAGAGAGAATAAAAATAGATATACACTTGGATTTTGTGAACTGCTAATATGGAAGAATATCTTTAAAGAGGTAATTATTTTTTTATTGAACTTTCCAGCATCTTGTACAATTACTGTTAACAAATTACAAGTACAGCAATGTCGAACAATTTGTAAACGTGTTCACGTGACATACTCCATCTAGTAGTTTACTGTTAGACGAGGCCTAAAAATGGAAGCTGTTTGAGAACACATGAATCAAATTTTTTTTTTTTTTTCTATTTACCTCTCAGTGTGTCATCAATTTTCGGATTATGAGCAAAAAATCACTTTTCATGACTTTAAATTCACTTAACATTTTAAAAGTTTGGGTCTCTATAGGGAAAAGATACCAATTATTTTGGTTCCATGTTCGTTCGCCCTAAAAATTGTTCGCCCTATATCCCGTTCGCCCGATTTTTCGTTCGCCCAGAGTCCGTTCTCACAATTTCTCGTTCGCACAGGGTCCGTTCGCCCAGATTTCTTTTTCAGTTTTTAAGATCAAAGGGAGATACTTCAAAGGTAAAACTTAGGATCCGCTGCTCAGTTCTATAAGGGATCTATTAACATCTCAGTCCCTTAATTGTTTTCAAAACAAAGCCCAATTCGTAAAAAAAACACGTGTGTATCCCCCAATTAACATCGATATTAGTCATCTAATTAACTATAGTGCAAACACTAAATCATTAATTGAAGAATCAAATCAAAAATTAAATAAGACTAAATAAACATTGTTCCTGGTTTGAGAAAAAATAACCAAAGTTCGTAAAGGAAATAAAAATGCATGTTAATCTTATTTCAAATAAGTTATAATATATATAAGTATATATACCGGTAATATAATATATAAGTATTGGGCGAAACTTTTATAGGGCGAACAAGATTTTGGGCGAAGAAATTTTTGGGTGAACGGACCCTGCGCGAACGGACTCCCGCGAACAGGTAGCAAATCGAATGCAAGAATTTTTTTGATAATAAAAACTCTCTCGATCAAACTGAAGACAGTGATATGAATATTTTTACTCAAATCAATGAAGCAATTCGAAAATTTCAAAGTGAAAATATGAATTGTAAACCACTTAAGTAAAAAAGTTTAAGATTGTTACTTCCGGAAATATAATG